AAGTTCTTCAAATACCTATAGAATGATAGGTTTCTTTTTTTTGTGAGTGTAAAACACTTAAATATACTAGTTCGAACTTTGTTAGCTTCTGTTCATATAGATAGCGAGCATGTGATACATGTGTGTGTATATGTATATACATGTACATGTATATACAGTAACGTATTATAGCATCAGTAACATAATTGGTTTCTATTCCGCTTGGATCGCTGCGGTAAACCTGAATATATTTTTGTACTGAGTGGATCATGTTAGCAAAGTAAGGAGGTCCTTTTATTTGATTTGTTTTTCTAAAACTGAGTGTCTTCTAATACTGATTTAATCAATTCAATTATTCTAACCTGCTCTTAATTCTAATATTCTATTTTATAACTTAGGATATTTTCAACCAAGCAGAAATGTTTGCAGAGGATGCAAATAGGTTATACAAAGATATTCGTCAGTTTTCATACCAGGTAAAACTTTTACTGTCAAGAAATGTGTATAGATACACATACTTAGTAATAAGGTCATATAGAGAATTCTCTATATACCAGCCTAGATTGAAATTAACATAGATAAATGTCAATGTACAAATCTAGCTAGAAAAACGTGTATATATATATACTTTGATGACGCAGGCCTGCGATGGTTTTGTGGTCTTGAAATGTTTACATGTTCTACAGTAATTCCTGTACGCTGAATCCGAAAATGATATCCATTTTTTTCCATCAAGTACAGACTTTTCACAAAACGTCATATGTACTTTTACACAAATGAAGCATTTTCACTGAAATCGGGTCACATTTTGTTAAGCTTAAAAAGTTGACAACCACTGGCTATAGATTTCTCTAGACCAATCGCGACGTGAGAGTCTTATCGATCGTTTTAGAACCCACGAAAAACACACCGCTAGTATATAAACGGTTAACAGGTCGCATGTGGTGTTATTTCTGGATAGTATTTGTTTGTGCGTGCACTTTGACGTTATTATTTTTCTTTTCTATATTATTTATTCGTCGCTATAGCAACAAGAGGCTATGTAAATGACCCAAAATTCTATGTTATCTTTCTGGTAAATTTGTTCTAAGTAAAAGTGTTTTGTTTTTTTTCCATTTTGTAAAAAAATTCTTACATGATAGAAAAAAATTTATTATTTTCGAAATCTGCGTAGCTGAATTATGTAAAACCCATTATTAAAACCAAAACAACTTTTATGAAGTTTAAATTCGCAGGCCTGTGTAATTTACATAATTCGGTGTACTATCATTTATATACTTCTGATGTACAAACCTGGCTAACAATTATTTAGATACTTCTGATGAACATACCTGGTTAAAGAATCACTTAAATAGTTCTGGTGTACAAACCTGGCTAACGATTATTTAGATAGTTCTGGTGTAAACGTGGCTAAACAATAATTTATAGTTCTGGTCACCAGAATTATCTAAATTACTTTTATCAAGTTCTGTGCACCAGAATTATCTAAATGACTTTTTATCCAGTTCTGTGCACCAGAATTATCTAAATAATTGTTTAGCCACATTTACATCAGAACTATCTAAAGGATTGTTTAGCCACATTTACACCAGAACTATAAATTATTGTTTAGCCACATTTACACCAGAACTATAAATTATTGTTTAGCCACATTTACACCAGAACTATCTAAATGATTATTTAGCCACGTTTACACAAGAACTATAAATTATTGTTTAGCCACATTTACACCAGAACTATCTAAATGATTGTTTAGCCACGTTTACACCAGAACTATCACAAATTATTGTTTAGCCACGTTTACACCAGAACTATCTAAATTATTGTTTAGCCACATTTAAACCAGAAGTATCTAAACGATTGTTTAGCCACGTTTACACCAGAAGTATATAAATTATTGTTTAGCCACGTTTACACCAGAACTATCTAAATTATTGTTTAGCCACGTTTAAACCAGAACTATAAATTATTGTTTAGCCACATTTAACACAGAACTGGATAAAAAGTCATTTAGATAATTCTGGTGCACAGAACTGGATAAAAAGTCATTTAGATAATTCTGGTGTACAGAACCGGATAAACAATCATTTAGATGCACAATAGCAAATTTCAGACCTTTCACATGTGTCGTGTTAAGGTGAGGGCTCCAGCACACTCTAAATATTCACCTTCACTACCATCTTAGGTAACTAGAAATATTTTTATACGTGTTTTGTAAGCAGATTTTCATTTTTGATAAAGGAGAAGTCTGCAAATAATTTTTGTTATTTGACCTAACATTTAATCATTATATCTCTGTGGATTATAAAAACTTACACATTTTGAACTTTACAGGTTCCAGGTGGGTCACAGAAGAAAGATCTTCTAGAAAACCTTGACAAAGTCCCAACTTACGTTCAACAGCTGCAGTTTACTGTAAGAAATCCAACCGTGGGTAAAGCAGCCACATTCACAAAGGTATAATGTTAAAATCATCTGTATCATGTCGAAAGTTAAAGAAAAAGGTTTTCAAATAATATTCGATAAAAACAAGTATGTCTATTAAAAGAACTTTCAGTTGTTGCTAAGCTGATGTGATCACCTGTTCATATGTACAAGTTATGGTTGTTGGTAAGCTGATGTGATCACCTGTTCATGTGTACAAGTGATGGTTGTTGGTAAGCTGATGTGATCACCTGTTCATGTGTACAAGTGATGGTTGTTGGTAAGCTGATGTGATCATCTTTTCATGTGTACAAGTGATGGTTGTTGGTAAGCTGATGTGATCACCTGTTCATGTGTACAAGTGATGGTTGTTGGTAAGCTGATGTGATCACCTGTTCATGTGTACAAGTGATGGTTGTTGGTAAGCTGATGTGATCACCTGTTCTTGTGTACAAGTGATGGTTGTTGGTAAGCTGATGTGATCACCTGTTCATGTGTACAAGTGATGGTTGTTGGTAAGCTGAAATATCACCTGTTCATTACTTACGGCTGGTTAGACGACTATCATTATTTATAGAAGCGATTGATGTTGAATATTTGATGTGTCTAAAACAAGTAAGATACTAAACAAATAGTAGATACAATCAAACTTCTTTAGTCCGGATTATTTACAATATTGATGTATTTCATACAAGCAAATCTTCACAGTAGGAAATTTAATCAATAATTGGTACGTTCGCATTTCGAATCCGATACATGAATCGTCATGACTCCTCGATTCATGTTGGGATCGATTAGAAACAGAAAGTAGTGTGATAATTACTGATTACAATCAGATACACGAATCGTCATGACTCCTCGATTCATATTGGGGTCAATTAGGAACAGAAAGTAGTGTGATAATTACTGATTACAATCCGATACATGAATCGTCATGACTCCTCGATTCATGTTGGGGTCGATTAGGAACAGAAAGTAGTGTGATAATTACTGATTACAATCCGATACATGAATCGTCATGACTCCTCGATTCATGTTGGGGTCGATTAGGAACAGAAAGTAGTGTGATAATTACTGATTACAAGCCGATACATGAATCGTCATGACTCCTCGATTCATGTTGGGGTCGATTAGGAACAGAAAGTAGTGTGATAATTA